AAAAAAAAAAAAATAAAGTACTTTTTCTTCTGCATCGTCTTACCTTCTGTACACTTACTAATTCTGTATTGGAAGGGAAATCCAGAATGTAGTACTGTTCAATAACTGAATGATCGAATTAATCCACAATTCTTTTTTTTTCTCTCTCTCTAAGCAGAAGTGTATATATGTTGTTTGTTTGTCATCAAGTTGGAAGCGATACATAGCTGACCCTCCAATAGGTTTTCAAAATTGAGATGCATACATAGGACATTTTCCTCCCCTTCAGTATCCTTCCTTCTGAAAGCATTTTTTTTAGTGCAAACACAACTAGTTTAACTTAGTTTGAGGCCTAAGGTGCATCTTATTCAGGCCATGGTCTTTCTGATCACTTGCTGTGCATGTAAGAGCTGGACAGTGAATAATGATAACAGAAGAATTGATACCTTTGATCTGTGGTGTTGGAGAAGAGCACTGACCTTCCCATGGACTGGCAAAAGAACAAATAATTATGTCTTGGAGAGAGTGCAGCTGGAGTTCTCTTTGGAGACAACAATGATGAGACTTTGCATCACATGCTTTGGCCATGTTGCTAGGAGGTGCTGTTCCTTGGAGAGGAACATGATTCTGGGAAGAGTGGAGGGTTGACGAAGGTGGATTGACACAGTGAGTGCTGCAATGGGCTCTAGTGTGTCAGGAAGTTTGAGGATGGAGCAGGACAGGACTGGGTTGAAATCTGCTGTTCATAAGGTTGCTATGACTCAGACTAATAACATCACAACTATAAACTTTGGGAATTTATGCATATCTTTTCCCCTTGTGGTTATGCAGTAGTTTCTAACTCAGCTAAAATCAGACTTCCGTAACATTTTGGTTATATTTTGCTTTGTAGGGTACTATTCCTGGCGAAACTCAAAGGATGGCTCCTGGTTTATCCAGTCCCTCTGTGCTATGCTGAAACAGTATGCTCACAAGCTCGAACTCATGCACATCCTCACTCGGGTTAACCGGAAGGTGGCAACAGAATTTGAGTCCTATTCCCTTGACTCTGCATTTCATGCAAAGAAGCAGATTCCATGCATTGTGTCCATGCTCACAAAGGAACTATATTTTTATCACTAAAAGAATGCCTGGTGGTGTTTTTCTTCATTTTTTTGTTTGTAAGCCAAGTGAGAAGACAGTTGTAACTGATACTGTATTTCCTTCTTTCTTTTATGGCTAATCTGATATTTTAAATGGTCCTTTGAAACATAATGTTTTCATAGCAATAGAACCACTGAAACTACCTCAAACTCAAAATCAGGTAGTTAAAATCAAGTTAGTAATAAACTGTATAGTGTTCTAAACATTATGAGAGGAAATGACTAAATTTACAGATTCCATAATTAGCAAGTTTGAGTAATACTATGCTATGAATTTTCAGGTAATTATGAAAAAGTTACACATGGCAGTAATGAATTCTATTGTAAGGTTGTAGTTAAGACTACAGTTTTTATTTTCTCAATTAGAAGTGATGTTGTAGAATATTGTATCCTAGAACTTGGGGATCCACTGGCATGATCAAAGGCTTACAGACCTTTACTTTTAAAACTGGTTCATTGTATTTTTAAAACACTTATGTGAGCACTCGGTTTTGTGAAAGTTTTGTCCTGAGCATGACTTTGTGATTTTTTTTTAAAAAAAATCATGTTTAATATTGAAAAAGAAATTAGAGATTTTGTTTGAGAATGAGGGCACACGTAGTTGACTTTTTTAAAGCCAAATGTAAAGTTGAAGGTTGGGACAGAATTACTATGAGGTGCTAAGAAACATGTTGATCTACCAGCATAAAGACCCTTTTTCTTTCCCTATACAAATCACTTATTATACCAGCAGAATACCTGGTAAACTGTTATGTAATGTACTGACTTCAAATGTCATTATTATTAGCAATATAAATGAACAAATGGGGCACATATCAAAATGCAGCTTGAATGATAAACAGTGGACTGTAAGGAAAGGGCCCTAAATCAATCAGCTGGACTCTTGGTAATCGGAGCAAAGGTGTTTGACTTCTGTGTAGACACTGAACAGCCTTTGAAAATCTGCAGCCTTAGACTCTGGCTTCAGAAAAGGACTGTTCAGAATCAGACACTTCTGAACTGGCAAATTCCTAAAGGTATTGAGAGTCATAATAAGGGGGGGGGGGACCATCCTTCTCTTTGTAGTAAACATTTTAAGCATGGTAAGTTATTTTTTTGTGGAAGTTTACAATCGGAGGGAAGCTGTGGTATCATACTGTCCTCTAAACTGAAAGGACCAGGGCTCACAGGACTTCAGAACTCATCGTGTCTGAGCCTCTCCTTTGGTGCATGAGGAAGCAGAAGCCAGACAGGAGGGGAGGGGCATTAGAATAACATGTAATGATATCTTCAGAGAGTTCTTGTGTGACAATTTTATAAAAAATTTTATCCTGAATTTTTATTTCAAAATACAAATTTTAAAAAATTACCAGTGTGTTTGAGTTTTTCATTGTTGTTGTCTTTGATGTTATACTACTAATTGGAAGTGAAATTATTTTTAACCAGGAACTTAGTGTGCAAGCAGTCAAAGAAGATGTAGCAGGAACTGATACTTCAAACTGATGGCATATTTCTGAATAGGTAGGATAAGAAGAATTAATTATGATGCTCAGGTGCTCAGAAATCCCTGTCCCTAAAATGACTCAATGAAAAAATGTATACATAGATTTCAGTCCTTAAATGTGGTTGTATTTTTTTGGCTTGCTTATAAAAAGATATTACTGAAATAAAACGTTTTCTACCATGTTAGTTGCTCTTGAGTTGAGTATAATTCATAGCAGCCCCATGTGTGCAAAGTAGAATTGTTCCAGAGAGTTTTCAAGCCTGCAACCTCTCACAAGCAGCTCACCAGGCCTGTCTTTGAAGAACGGCCAGGTAGTATAATGCTTGATCATTTTTTTTTTGATCATTTGAACCACTCAATCAGTACCAAAGCCACTGCCATCAAGTAAATTCCAACTCATGGAGACCTTCCATTGGGTTTAAATCGTTGGCTGTAAATACTGACAGGAGGAGATTGCCATCTTTCTCCATAGAAGCTACGGTGGATTCAAACCGCTAATGATGGGAGGTGGCAGGGAGGGATAAGAGCTAAGTATATGTAAGAAAATCATCAGTGTTTACTGGCAGGAGATAAGGACTGGATGTTTCTTCTTTTTTATGTAGTTAAAATAGAACAATAACATAGTGAGAATATGAATGACATTAAAGTCAGAAATACAAAGTTGTCCTAAATGGAAACAGGACTCCTTCAGCAGTAAATAGTGGCATTGATGACTTTGACTGTTTTATGGCTGAGTCTTTAATGTATTAAGAAAATCTAACCATTCTAATCTCTCCTATATAAAGAGGTCTCATATTAAAAGGACGGTGCAGGTGCTTTGCATTTTGGTACTAACTGAAAAGTTGATAGTTTGAATTCACTCAGTCGCACCACAGTGTATTTCTGTAAGATTGTTGTGCACTCTTCAGTCGGAACTGACCCATAGCTGACCCTCCAGTGGGTTTTCAGAGGCAGTAAATTGGATGGGAAGAGATTGCCCATCATTGAAATCCTGTGGAGTACAGTTTTTCTGATACACATGGGGTCACCATGAGTTTGAATCAGCTCGTGGACACTGACAACATATGTTAGGAAGAAAAGATGAAGAACCCAATAGAAAAAAAAAGACCAAATGTCCCTGAAACTTGAGTGAAGAGTTTAGTCTTCATTGTAAAAATGGAAATGTACAATCCCAGAGGAACACGGTTCGAATCCACCAGATGCTCTGCCGGAGAAGGAGGTGCAATATCCTCCTGTACCAGTCTGATCTGATTTGACGGTACACGCAGACAAAATAATAAAAAAAAAATTAAAGAAAAAAAAGGAAATGTAAATGAAAATGAGCATACTCAGTTGTCGAGGTTATGGGGAAATGAGCACGGATAGAGTAATGGAAAGACAAAACGATAGAATTTCTTGTGACATATAATCTGGAAATAATTGTAAAAATAGTTACTATCCCTTAAGGTATCAGTCTCATTTCTTGAAATCCATCTAACCATTAAGCTGTATATGAGCAAAGTTATTATACCAGATTATTGATTACATTTTTTTATTTAGATAAACTTTTTATTTATACTGGTTTACTTACAAAGTTCATATACATTGTTTTTCACACCAGATCTTCCCCATTTATTTCATTTACCCACCTCTCCCTCCACCCACCAAATTATGCAACACTATGATTAACCACCACCCCACCCCTGCCCTACAAGATTGCTTTAAGGGTTTTTTAACTGCAAAGACCCGATGTAACAGAATGAGGAAGATCCTACTAAATCATAAGGAAAGATTGCCCCATATATGGTTGAACAGACAAAGGTGAAATGTGCAAAGCTGATGAATGATAGGCAAGGAAGAGGAGGCAGCCAAAGGGTTATAAAACTGTATGGTTCAAAATTGACAGCTTTGTCCTCAGCTCCTGGGAAGTGATCTTTAAACTTCTGGGGTATCTTAAGAGTGATTTTGTTGGACGTTGGTAGACATTAGCAATATGATTTAGGGTGGAGTTTTGGGTCACGTTGTACGGACTTAACCTGCAGAAATTTTGGACTGACTTAGGCTACGTGGATGCCCAGCCAGCTCTACATAACTGAACCTCTAAACACCAATGGACACCTAGACAGGTGAGTTTCTTGATTGGCAATATTCTGTGCATATTGTTATACATGGTTGCCCTGGACAACTGGAAACTTCACTGTGGAGCTTTCTTAAGTGTCTTTCCTCTAGGCTGATTTTCATTTTCATCACTGTAATTCTGACTGGGAGCAGCAAGTTCTGTGAGTCCTAGTGAACTGTCAGGCTGAGAGCAGTCTTTGGGAAGTCAGACCGTGTACGAGATTCAGAAGTGAGAGCGGTTCTGTGCCCTACCCTTACCTTTATGCTCATAGTAATGGGAATGGTAGATAGAGGCAGGGTTTGGTGTGAGACCTTTCACTGTAGACTTTTGTGTACTATTTTGATTTTTTTGAACCATGTGTAAGTAGATTACTAGGCTAGAAAAATCATAAATTAAGTGGAACTTAATAAGGATTTGCAGTAAGTAGAAAATTCACCAGTGCAGGAAGTAAGGGCTCTGAGGATTCTTTGGCTAGGTGGTTTATTTTCTTGGCCTCAACCTATTGTTACAGATTTGATTAAGAAAACATGGATGTAAATTAACAATATCAGTTTTTTTAAGCTAAAAGAGCAAAATAAGATGTCTAGTCACATTAATTATTCTTTAATTATTCCATCCTTCTTTACAATATTATAGTAAACTGTTGCGAGAAGAGCAGGCCAACAAATAGCCACAAAAGAATTTTCACAAGTAGAATGAATATTAACTGTCTACAACCAGCATCCAGGAACTCAAAAGAGAGATTGCACTGGGAAAATTCTGCTGCCAGGGACCTCTCCAGAGTACTAAAGAGCAATGATGTCAGTCTAGAGACTTAAGCTGTGCCCCTGATTTAGCCATGGTCTTTGCAGTTATTTGATATGAGCATCAGAGAGCTGGACAATGACTAGGGATGATAGAAGGAAAGTTAATGCTTTGAGCTGTGGCGCTGGAGAAGAATATTGAACATACTATGGACTGCCAGCAGAACAAACTGGTTTGTCCTGGAGAGAGTGAAACCAGGCTGTTCCTTGGAGGCAAGGATTCTGAAGTTCTGTCTGACATACTTATTTTGGACATGCTGCAAGGAGGGACCAATCCCTGGAGAGGAATATTATGCTTGGAAGGGTGGAGGACAGCACAAGAGAGGAAGACCCTCAATAAAATGGATTGACTCAGTGACTGGGGTAATGAGGTTAGGTGTGTCAGAGACAATAAGGTTGGCTAAGGACAGGGCAGGGTTCAGAGCTGTTGTACATAGGGTCACTATGGGTTACAAGTGATTAGACAGCACAGAAAAATATTGGTACCGAAAAGGTCAACACCCTTGCCACCAGCAGCCAGGAAACCAAAAAACGAAAAGGTCAGCAGCTTCTTCACTCACTGAGGCCTGGACCCTAAACTATTGTCTTGCGTTTTCTTACTTTGAAAGCATGTATCAAAACTAAAAACTCATCTCTGTACCTCTAGGCTTTGTATGCAGTGATCCTTCTCAGCAGCTGAAA